TTAAACAATACTTTTCAACTACTATGTATAGACAGGGTCCATACATGAAACACCGGAGGGTAGGACCATTTTGGCATTTTAGCACTTCTAAAATCCAACAACCCTATGCGACCCTTCAAAACCAGATTTCCGTACAGCGAGTAGTTAAAAGATATTATAATAACACAATGTATATTTTATTTTATTTTATAATATGTATATTGTTTATAAGTACATAATAATAATATTGAACTTAAACATAAGTTATACTTAAAGTAGGGTAAGCATAACTTACTTACTAGGAGGTTTGGCTAGGAACATGGCTCTGCGGAGGCAGAACTTCCGTATCGAAATCTCTTCTTCTTGGAGCCTTTTGGTGCTCCGGGATTCTCTTTTAACACCTAGGAGTTATTAGAGAAAATCTTAGAAGGTTTGGGAGTAATTAGGAGACGAAAAGTGGAGAGGTGTGAAGAAAATGCGAGATTTATGCCTATATTTATAAGCTGGATTCAGTGCAAAGGCAGGGCATCAAGAGCCAAACGTAGGGCATCAAGAATTCCTTAGTTGAATGTTGGATGTTCGTGGCAGGGTGTCACCATTTGGTGGCAAGCCGTGGTGAGGAAGCAGTGGCTCAGATCGCGCCACGTGTCGCCTCCTGGTTATTCAAAAACTAATTATCTTCTAAGGTCCATAACTTTCACATACGAGCTCTATTTTTGATGTTCTTTATATCTACGTGTTGGTATTGATAAGATCTACAACTGTCCTCTTGACTCCATTAGCTAATTATCAACTGATTTTAAGTTTAACAGTATGAGAAGATTACATTGTTAACGACCGTATAAAATTTATAACTTCTACATACGGACTCTTTTTTCTATTGTCTTTTTATCGTTGAACTCCTATTAATTATATCTTAAATTCTCATTTAGGTTGTTCCGGCTAAATCTTAGAAAAATCATAACTTCCTCATACGAATTCAAATTTTGACGTTTTTATGTACATTCTCGGTTTAACATATACTATGACTTTTGTTTAGATCCCTAAGGCTAAAATGTAATTTATCAAAAATTCACTTTTCGTTATAACTCATAATTCAGTATTCTTTATAAGTATGGAACCCTTGCCACATATACTATAATTTGGTTAATATTATTTATCCTAAATAATCTTCTATAAAAATGTCATTTTTAACGCTTATTGTCTCCAAATTGACTAGTCCGAATCTACGGGCGTTACAATAGGCTAGGGTAGCCATTATTAGTTGGAGTCTTAGTAGGAGCCTGGTGGTTGGTCCAAGTACGAGGTTGTCTGCCTCAACAGTGGATTGGGGATTTTATACCTCAACTTAGTGTCACCATTGAATCAGAATATTTCGGGTAAAATGCAAGTATAAATCCTTGGATATTAGGATATGTGTAATGTATCGGGTTGTCAAATGGTTAGAACTCGCGTAGGGAGTTGTCATGGTGTGTGTGAGTGTGTGTGTGTGTGTGTGTGTGTGTGTGTGTGTGTATATATATATAAAGGATATTTTCATCAGCAAGTTATGGTTAAGGAATCTGTCGGCCAAAGGTATCGGTTGGATCGTTCAAGATAAAAATGGATGTTTCACGAATTAGAATGCAGTAAGGGGTTCTAGTGATTGTGTTTCGGTGTGGTCCTACTTGTGTGGGGTTAAGTAAAGGATGGGGTTCTCAGAACTATAGCAGCAAGGTACTGGTTTGGTAGTTAATGGATCAATAACTTGTTTACCCTTAGGGTGCATGAGTTCGGTTGAAGTTGGCTTCATTGGTAGCATTGAAGGGTTGTTGGGGGTATGAGCCAACCTTTTCAGTAGATCGGGGATTCAAGAGGAACTGGTCGGATAGTTATGGTTCCAGGAAGATGGTAAGGAGTGATCTCGAGGACGAAATCTAATTTAAGTGGGGGAGAGTTGTAACACCATATTTTGAATCGTTTTATAATTCAGATGCATGACCTGAAGACTAGTTATCATAAGGCATGGGGCCTTGGGGAAGGAGAGCTTTAGAACCCTTTTGGTGGGGATAATGTAGATTAGGTGATCCGAGAGTTTGGTTTGTGTTTTTAAAACCAAGGGTATACTCGTAAAGTGGTAGTTTGGACCTTTTATATGAATTTTGGATTTAAGTTCAGAAATTTTTAAGGAAAAGGTGAGTTGATAATAGTGTAGAGCTTCTCATTACCTTTCCGTGGATATAATGATCGTCAAAATCGGACTTCGAATGAAGAAGTTATGGCTTTCAGAAGTTTGGTGGCTTTAAGGATAAGCCTGGTACGTTGGGCATACATAGGAGTACGTTGGGCGTACTAGAAAGGTTGATCACGGGTGCCCATTGGAGTACGTTGGGCGTACCAGGAGTACGTTGGGCGTACTCCAGCCAGATGAAAACCCTAATTTAGGGTCTTGGATCATATTTAATGACCTTAACTCAACTCCAAACCATATTATCTTCAGCCTCCACCCCATTAAACCTTATATTCATAACCCTAGCCTTCATTTTATCATTCTTGAGGTTTTTTGTGTGCCTTGGAGAAGAGGGAGATCTTATTGGAAGCATTTCTTGGCTTAGAGCTTGTGGATCCAAGCTCTAATCATCTTCATCAACTTACAGGAGGTATAAAGTTTCTAACTTGATAAGTCTATGTGTGATCTAGTCTAGGTTATGTTGTGGGTTTATTTTGGTCCTTCGAGTCACCCTTGTGAGTATGAGCTACTCTAAAAGATTAGATGTTAGATCTTAGCACTCCTGAGGTTGTGGGTGCATAAAAATGTCATCTTGATGGGTTTGGTTGAGTCGTGATTAAGTTGGTGGGCATATTATGAGCCATGATAAAAATGGGTTATAGGTCCCGTTAAGTCATGAAAAGGAGTAAATTTGGTAAGTTTATGGGTGAAGACCTTATCTAGAGGTTAGATCTGAGTTTGGACATTTGTCTTAAGTATTAAGTGTTTAATGAGAAGTCTTTGGATCTCTTACGAGTACGTTGGGCGTATGTAGGAGTACGCTCAGCGTAATGCATGGATCAAGCTTTGCGACTTGTATGTTGCACATCGGAGATCAGTATGCGGGGTGTACGAGTTCAGTATGTGGGGCGTACTCCCAGGATGCATATTTTGGGTTCTTTTGGGCCTTGAGCCTTTTGGGGGATTCGACTATAAGATGTTGAATCAGTTATGGGAAGCGTAAAATGGTCTTTTACCCTTTATGAAGATAGATTATTGGTTGGGCCTTGGATTTTGAGAATTTATCTTAATTATTTATTAGGGATTATTTGGTTATGTAAAATGTAAGGATTCCTGTAGCAGTAGCTCATGTGCTCGGTTATCTTGGATTTAGGTGAGTCTTATCACTGTACCCGTGGGTCGAAGGCACCAATGTCGACCCACTAGGATATGTTATGCTAGTTGTCTCTATGACTCTTACATGGTATGTTGGGCTAGGCCCATTGTATGTTACGTAAGGTGCTAGTTGTCTCTATAAATTGTGCATTTGTATGTTAGGTTGGGCCCATTGGTTTGGCAGGGCTAGGCATATTATGGTGGGTTTGACCCGATATGCGGGCTAGGCCTAATGGTATGTATGGTATATAGTATTTTGGGGAACCTACTAAGCTTTGTACATACAGATTTTATGGTTATGATTTCAGTCACGTCCGGTTCGAAAGGGAAGGGTCTGGCTTGATCGCATCACATCCACCCATGTTTCCGCAATATGATGATTTTGTGATTATACTCTGCTGACTGTATTGTTACATATACTTTTGAATGTTTGAATGAAAGATAATTGGTGTTTGATTGAATTAAAAATGAAAATTTTATCTCATAATTTTTGGGACGTTACAGAAAACAAAATTGAAAATGAGTTCTAGAGAGAATGTACAAATCTAACAAGAATTTTAAAGAGAGAAAATTAATTTGAAACAAGTTCTAGAGAGAGAAAACGAATTTGCAACAAGTTCTAGACATAGAAAATCAAATCTGGATGAAAACAAAGAACTAAATTCGATTTCTAGAGCAAAAACTCTCCTAAAAACAGAAAACTTACAACATTGAAGCTTGATGTAAGATTCACGAATCAAATTGTCATCATGGATCAATTTCTTGAAAAAATTGTTAAACCTTCAAGAACCCGCTCTGATTCCACATGTAGGATCCCGGAATAGATGACAAATTTGAGAATAGTAATGATCAATGTGAATCAAACATAATGAAGAACACACAATGTAAATAATTTTTTATTTAAGCTCAATCAGTTCTAGAAAGAGTTTACAAAATGAGTCATATAAAAATTCTCTTACTAAATTAAATCTCGCATGTTACATAAATGAGAGCATCTCACTTTCTATTTATAGAAAAAACTCAACCCATTACACATCTGAAGAGGGTGAACTAATTACAATACCCAATGAGAACTTTGCACCCTAATAGTTTGTTTTGTCACTCCCTCCCCCATATTCAACATATATATTTGAATTGATACCGCCATTACCATGCTAATCACAAAGAAACATTATCAAATACGGATCAAAATACAAAAAAGAAAAACTAGGAGGAACTAAAAATGTAATTTAATCGATACCTTCAATTGGAGTTTTTTTTTTTTTTTTTTTTTTTTTTTTTTAATTTTATTTGAACAATAATTTTGGGATAGAAACAATGTCTTATTATATTACAAGGTGGGTCCTTTGACTCACCAAAATTTTCAGCATTTAATATAACTTATATACTATAAAAATTAAGACGTACCTTAAAAAAAATTAAATGGCCTGCCTTGTGTGAAATAAAAAAAAATTAGGAACAAAAACAAGTATTAGTTTTTTTTTAAAAAAAATATACGTTTGAAAAATTCATTGGATTACCACTTATAGTTAGTTGGGGCATCTAGTTAAAATCATATTAGTTGGGGCATCTTTTTATTCTACATTGGATTTTGCAGTCGTTTTAAAAAAATTAATACATATATTTATAAAAACTAATTTTTTAAAAGGTCCAATTAGTTTGGTTGAACCGCTTATTTGGCAAACCGACGGTTCCCACTTATTTGCTACTAAGCAGTTTTTTGAGATAAAAACCGATAACTTAAAAAGTTCCCGGTTCAACCGATCGAACCTGATGAGGTCTGGTTTTCAAAACCATGTTTCCACCGATCCGATTGAAATTGTTTATGTAATTTTCTGTTCTAAACTTGTTAGCGAAATACTATAATTTAAATAGATTTAAGATTTAAAATACAGTTGATAATTTAGGGATGTGGATTGACTGGATTCGTGGTGTAAGAAATATAGGAGCAAATGGGAGAAACGACAACATGTGGGCATGAACAAGACACGACGACACACAAACTAATCCAATCTTTTCATCTTCTGATCGTTATGTTATCCATGGAGGACGTCCCATTGCTTCTCCTCCTATCCTAAACCTTTTTCCCTCTCTCTGCCACCGGAAAATGCAATTCTCCGCCGCAATAGGATCGCCATATTCCTCCGTCTCTCGCATAGCTTTTCTCTCTCACTTACTCGCCACCGATGTTTCTGCTTTGAAAACACCACCGCTTAATTGGAACTATTCCCCCACCAATTTCTTCATTTGTCGAAGCTCTTTAACCCCCAAAAAACCCTCACCTTCGATTTCAGCCCCCAAGGTTTCCACCTCCGACGACACCTCCAAAACTCAGCTTCTGGATCTTATTGACGAAGACGACGACGTCGTTCGCCAAGCTCGGGTGTGCTTTTATTCTCTTTCTACTTCAATTTTTCTGTTAGTGTACCCTTTTCACCATTTGACCCAATATCAGTTAACACATTATACATAACTGACTTAATTGTGATTCACAAAGCTAATTTCAGAAGACGTTTGATAACTATATAATCAATCCCAGCAATGAATCCCTAATGATCGATATAAGAACATGAAGAAGAAACATTATTGTGTTCATTGGTTCTCAATTTTGTATCTAAAACTTTGTTTCTGCAAAGAAGTAGAGATCTGCTGATTGGAAAGCAGCAAGAGCTCATTATGACAACGGAATTGTATATCAAGGCAGAATTGAGGGATCCAATGGAGGTGGTTTGCTAATTCGATTTTATTCTCTTGTTGGATTTCTTCCATATCCACAATTGAGCCCATCGCACTATTGTAAAGGTATGCTTTTTCAACCCCATAACTTATCATAATCATTCAAGTTTCGACATTAAATTCAAAATCGTAAATTTTTTTGGACATTGAATTCTTGTGATTACTCATCACCTCAACTCTAATTATGGTGTTCATTGTAAATCATGTAGAGCCAGAAAAGTCCATCCAAGAGATTGCAAAAACACTAACGGGTACTCTTATTTCCGTTAAGGTACTTTTCTACTCACAAACGAAAACCAAGTTTCTTCGGTTTCTACTTTCTAAACCTTAAATTCTACAAAAATAAATAAATAAATAAATAAATAACATCGGTGTACTAAATGCATGTTAGGTGATCCATGCGGAAGAGGAGAAAAGAAAACTTATATTCTCCGAAAAAGAAGCTACGTGGTCGAAGTATTCAAATAGTGTAAAAGTTGGAAATGTTTATGAAGCAAGAGTTGGATCGGTTGAAGACTATGGTGCCTTTGCTCACTTGCGATTTCCAGATGGTAACTAAGAAGTTAGTTTTGTAAATATGTAAAACTATAAGGACATTTGAGTCATTTTGCTTCCATAGGAGTTTTTATAGAAATTAATAATGTAAATTATAAAAGAAAATGTTTATTGTTGTGTTGCAGGTTGTTATCATCTTACTGGACTTGTACATGTTTCGGAGGTGTCGTGGGATTTGGTTCAAGATGTGAGAGATATCTTGAATGAGGGAGATTTAGTGAAGGTCAAAGTCATTGGTGTCGATAGGTGAATATTTTTGGGGGTGCTATTTTGTGATGCAAGAGGAAATAAAGATCTAATAACTAAGTCTAATTTTTAATAGGGATTTTTTTAATATGTGTTCTAAGGATAAATCTAAAAAATATTAATTGAAGTATTAGTTATAAGAAACATTCCTATAATTAAATGTGATAAACATTAATTATGTGTAAAATTACCATAATTAAATATAAAATAAATTAATTATGGGAAGTGATTCGTACACAACAGTTTTTTGTGATACACAACAGTTCGTGCATTATATAATTGTACAATATATCATTTTAAAGCACTAATTGTTGTGTATGGAGAAAAATTATTGTGTACAGATCAATTCCTATTAATTATAAAGAATATTACTTATAATTAATATGTATCGTATTTTATTATGGTAGTATTTTTTCATAATTAACACTTAAATTAATGATTCTTATATGTGCATTTATGATATATATTAGAAAATCCTATAATAAAATTTGGGGAATGAAACCTTTTTGGAAATTATTTTCTTTTAATTAGAGAGCATATTGCAGGAATAAATCAAGAATTACATTGTCAATAAAGCAACTTGAGGAAGATCCGCTGCTAGAAACTTTGGAGAAAGTCATCCCTCAGGTATAAGCCTCACTTAAATTACAACATTAAATTATTTACTATTTGTTCTTATTTTTGATCTCTCGTCTCTTCTCATTTTAATATCAATGAATATTATTAAAATTAATAAATATCCTAAAAATTGTTTGTTGCAATATAACGATGAACAGAAATTAAATACACTCCTATCTTTTACTAGTATTTCTATTTATCTTTTTATATAATATTTTGATAAAATTAATTATATTTTAAGATCTTTATCATTATTTTATATGGGTCGAAAGGTAAACAGGAAGAAAAATAAAAGATTATTTATTTTTTCAAAGATGAAATAGTCATTTATGGAAGTTACTCGGTCCGAAAAATATCATGTCCAGTATATACAATAGTGATTGCACATTCCATTGGAATGTAATCCAAGTCCAACTATGTTTACTAAATCGGCTAAACATTATAGAAAATGATAAAAGATCAAGAAGAAAAAAGAAAAATAAGGCGTCTAATTATGATGGTCAACCTATATATAACATTTATAAGCTAGTTTATCTTTTAATTTTTTGTAATTTAATAGTATTTGATAAAACAATTAAAATTGCTTATAAAAAAAACTATTTTAAATAGATTATTAATAATTTTATGATGTTTTTTCCATAAATTTTCTTAATACACCTCTATCTTTATATATACTAAGGTTGTCAAGATCAGGATCGAGATTGGAATCCTATGATCCTTACAAAAAAATATATTTATAACTTATAAGTTCAAAACATGAAAAATATCTCCAATAGTCAGTTTTCTGTTTAAAACCTATAAAAACTTTTAAAAATTTGTCACAAAAAAAGTAGCCGGTAAACTGGTAGTAAATATCATAAAGTGGTAAATTTAATTAAATTTTTTTAATTTTTTGTTTTTTTCTTTTTAAAAAAAAAAAGGAGAGTTTGATCGAATCTAGGGGTGTGCAAGGATTAATTAATCCAATTACAAGCCGATCGATTTGATTGGAAATTCAATTACAATTGGGTTAGATCGGATGCTAAATTTGAAAATCCAATTGGATTAAATTGGTTTTTGGATCATCCTGAAAATTTAATGGATAACCGAATAGAACCGATCCATTTGGATATCTAGTTTTAATTCAAAAAATATCCAATATTATTATCCATATCCAATTAATATTATTAAGTATTCAATAAAAATAAGTTGAAGACTTGAAGTTAATGTTTACTTGGTTAGTCTTATACTCTTATTTAACATAATTGTTTGCAATTTTATTTTTTGTTATTATAGTTATAGTTGATATTCAATAGAAAGATATTAGAATTGGTTTGATAACGGATGACCAATGGATTAAACCAATCAAAAATATACAATGGATTAAATCGATATAATCCAACATCCAATTGGATTGATTCCATTATTTATACCTAGTTGGATTGGATCGGTTAACGTCTAATAGATGATTGGATTGTATCAGTTCCGTCAAAATCCATAGATTTGAACTGATGAACACCCTCAATCTGATCGGATCCCGATTCTATGATCCTACGATCTTACTTGCAATCTTACCTCAGATACGATTCGTATGCGATTTGACTAGTTTGTCATACCTAGTGTTTGTCATATCGTAAGATCATACGATCAACATGCGATCAAGATTGGGATTTTGACATAACATTAAATTATATACATGTTTTTTTATATAATTTTATTTTATATTTGTTAGCTTTTAAAACTATATTACTTTATTCATCCGGACAAAAAATCTTCCAACAAAACATAATTTTGTTTTATTTTTCAATGAAAAATATCTCTATAAATATTATAATGTTTTTATTTATTTGCAGTTTATTTAATTATATAAAAAACCATATATATTAGAGACTTTTATTGAACTTTCATATTTATTTATTTATTTATCCTTTCTAAAGAAAAAAAAAATTCGTTTTTAAAAGATTTACATTTGACAATCTTTTTGTTTTCCGTTTGCCGTTTTTAAAAGATTCACATTTGACAATCTTTTTGTTTGGACCAGTTTTTTTCTTCATTTTTCATGTTGTGTTGTTTACAATGTTCACAAACTTTTTCTTTGGGCCACTTTTCATGTTGCTAGTTTTCATGTTATGTTGTTTATAATGTTACTTTTGATAATTTCCACGTTGATAACATTAAATTACTAACATATTGTTGTATATAATCCTAAAAATTTTAAACATAAAATTAATACATTAAAATTTACAAATGTTTGAACTTTTATGTTAAGGTTAAATTACTAAAATTAGTAACATATTGTTGTATATAATCCCAAAAATTCTTAAATCTAAATTAATACATTAAAATTTGCAAAATATTTGAACTTTGAACTTAATAATTAGGTTAAGGTTAAATTACTTAAACATCATGTATACAGATGAGAATAAAAAATAACGACTATAACATATCATATGCAGGATAATTCAGGTGGTTCTACTTCGGACGACTATGTCATCGACCCACTTCCAGGTCTCGAAACAATTGTCGAAGAACTAAAGCTAGAAGAAGGGTAATCATCCATCATATTCATATTCATATTCACTCAACAAATCTCTTAAATTAAACCATCTATCCTTTCTCACTTCTCTCATTCCCTCAAACAGCATAATCGACATAAAAATAACTCGTCAAGGATTCGAGAAACGAGTTGTATCACAGGATCTCCAACTTTGGCTATCAAATGTAAGTTTTGCTTTATATAATCATCAATTCATCGATCAAAATCCACTGTAATCAAGTTTCAAATCTCACAATCTTTCTTCAAACTGTTACAGGCACCCCCTAATGGAAATCAGTTCACACTCCTTGCTCGAGCAGGAAGACAAGTACAGGAAATACAACTCGTAACTTCACTCGATCAAGATGGGATCAAATTTGCATTACAGAGAGTTTTGGAGCGAGTTCCATGATTTCTTCAAATTTCGTAATATACATAAAGAGTTTATTACAGAGATCCAGATCCTACTTATTGTACAGAAATCACATTAAACCTGCAACTATCGTCGTTTTTTTTACTGATGTATGGTGTTCGTGTTCTTCCTACATTCATAGCATCAGATTCTTTATTCTAGAAACGAAGAACATAACAAAACATAAAAATGGAGTTTCTTCAAACGAAAACCCTAGGAATAGGTTCCAGAGTAGGGTGGCCGGAAGGCTTGCATTCGATCTCTCGTACAACAGTTTTGAGTCCGACTCCACCGGCGTTTGCTTTTGGGTGAATTCCTAGGGATAAACCTTCCATATACGCTCTGTTTTCCCTTTCCTTTTGGAACGAAACACCATAGCGAGACTCCACTTCTGTAATAATAATCGATGGATAAGAGTTCTTACACAGGTGCTAAAAATGGCGGAAATCAGGAAATGTAAATTGTACCTTTAGCAAGATTAGGGTAAAGCTGGCCATCACGAGTTAGAGCCATCATCACCTGCGGTAGACCTAACGGCAGCTGATCGCCTCTATCCACCTGCCAAAAGTGAATCGTCTTCCCGTAAGTTTTCGCCACCTTCTCCAGATCTTGCCGCTCAACAGGACCAGGGACGCCGGGAAGGAAAAGGACGCCGCTCTTCACCTCATACTCGTGGCTGTGCCACATCGGTTTTTCTGAATCCGGCAAGGTTAAGAACAGTTTTTCTGTTACGATGTATTCAACTCCGATTAACCGGGCGTCGGCTTCTGGACGATCGTAGATCAAGCACTGTCTCATTTCCTCGTTTTGATGGCCGCAGTAGTGGTGCGCTTCCACTTGTCGCGTCATATCGTCGGCGTAAAAGTGAAATCTAATAAGAAATCAATAAAAGTTATTACTCCATGATTTGGATCACAATTGAATCTGTAATTTATGATTTAAAACTTACGCGCAGAGGTGTTGGTGGATTTGTTTGGTTGGGCCGAACGATTGGATGGTGGAGGCGGCGGTGTCTACTAGGGAGGTGCCGACGTGGGTCTTTTCTCCGGGAATTTCAGTGTGGGGTGCTACGTTAATTGGATGCATTTTCGATGTGATTGCTTTTATGAAAAGATCAGCGATGGCGATCTCCGGTGAGATTGATGGAGGGGGAGGGGTTCTTATTCTTAAAGCTCGGGGAGTGACTGGCTGAGTTGCGTAGTGTTACAGGTGGCAGTGAAGGTGGACATAGGTGGCGCATTAAGTTAACCACGTGGCAAGATGCATGCTTCTTTCGTTTGACTATTTCCTAGAATGGAAATGTTGTAGGAATGTGACGCGTGGAAACAACGGTTTAAAGGGGATTCTAAGGCCGAAGATAGTTGTAACATTCCTGCCACATCAACTTTTTTTTTTTTTTCTGTCGTATCATTTTTTTTCCACCTTGGTAGCAATTTTTCTTTAAGCCATCCGGAGTGTAGGGTTATTTCACGCATGAGATCCTATGTGGCAAGCCAACCTATGCGTGAAAACCGTCTTAGGTTCCGATGAGTTTGCTGTGAAGTGGTTGTCAAGACGCATGAAGACACATAAGATGATTGGTTAATGGTTAGGCTAAATGGAGTGGTCACCACCATCTCATCGAAAAAGTGTTGTCACCTCTATGTCACATTAGCTTCACCACCAATCCACTACACCTTAGAAATGGTCATCACTAACAATATTTATTTTTTTTTTAATTTTTATTATCTTTTGTAACATTTATATTAAATAAAAAACATATTCTTTTTGTAACATTATATTAAATAAAAACAACCCACTAGATATTGAAAAAGGTTACTACTCCACATCATTTATATTTTTATTTTTTTAATTTTAAAACATTAGATTAAATAAAAAACATTATTATAAGTAATCATTTTACTAACTAAAAAAATCAAATAAACATATTATTAACTTTTAAAATTAAATAAACATAATTATATATAGCAGATAAAAGTAAAAGGGTGTAATAGGATTAAGTTATAGAATTTTAGGGAACAAATTTGTAACTTCAATTAAAACATTTATAATATCCACCCGCTTTACTTGGTCTTCTTCACCAGATTTCACTAATCGGTTTTTTTTTTTCTTTTCTTCTTCGATGGATTAAAAAAAATCCAACAAAATTAAAGGGCAAATGGTAAAAAAAAAAAAAAACCAATAGAAAGCTCCATCTTCCCATCCACGCAACACCACGAACACCAGCCCTTGGAGCGGTGTTCACGCGTCTTTGATCGTGTCAACTTAGCATCACGTGTCTTTTAGAACACCCCTTCCTGATAGTTTTATGACAGTTTCCATTTTCTCTTATTCTCTCTCATCCTTTTTTCCCCTTCACTACCAACTCTTGACATTTTCTCTCTTTCTCTCATCCTTTTTTCCTCTTCACTACCAACCCACCGGTGAACACCATTTCCACAACCTAGTGGGTTGGTTGTGGAATGCTAAAATATCTACGTGATGTTGAGTTGGCTGATGGTTTGGATGTGACCACTTCCCATAAAGAGTGATAGCATTCTTAACATTCCTTGATTTTTTTTGTTTTTCAAACTTTAATAAATTATATTTTTTAAAACACATTTCATATTAAATAATTCTTATTTAAATATTAGTGGAACCTTTATACAAAACAAAATAAATAAAATAATGTTTTTCACAAATTGATGACCATGTATCTCCAATTTCCCAAAATAAAAACTCAATCACATTTATACTTTCCTTACTCGATCTCTTTTCATTTTCTCGGTATGCCTACAACTACTGTTTCTTGAAATACATCCTCACGAAAGATTAGGGGTGGTTTATAGCGAGGCAAGGAGGCCTTGGCGAGAGCCACACTCCATAGACTAAAGTAAAGGCACATAACCTATATTTAGTTGATATATTTATATTTATATATACTTATCAAAATATTTATAAAAGATATATTTTTATTTGTATCACATATATCTGAAACACTTTTCAATTTCTTTTTATTAATTATTATAAATTGATTAATAATATTAAATTAATGCAAAAACTAAATTATAATAATAAATTAATTAAACTACAATATTAAAATATCATATTTTACTTTTATTTATAAAATTATGACATTAACATTTTAACATACTATAGTTAACTTGTTAGTTTATATATGTTGTCATATGTAATCAATTGTCATTTTAAAGTCATAATTTTTATATAATTTATGATTTTATATAAAATATTTAAATTGTTAATTTCAATATAATGTTAAACGGTTAATTTAAATCAAAATTTTAGTTAAACTTGAAAACAATCGAGAGGTTTTTTTTATAAATAGTTAAAAGTTATAAATTATATTGTTAAACCTAAATTGTAATCTTAAATTAACATAAAAACCATGAAACTATGTTTTATAATCATTAAGAATTTTCAAATAAATAACTTAAAAATAACTAACAATAAGAATAGTTAAAAGTAATATTATATAAAAAAATATTAATGTTATCTTTAAAAAACAAAAACAATGTTTGTTGTTTTAAATAGTTATAATCAAAGAAACTAACAATGGTCATCAAATAAATTTAAAAAAAGCTAAGTTTCTGAAAGCAAATTAAAATAACTAAAAGTTTTCAAATACGTCATTTTAAATAATTTACAACAACAATAGTTAAAAGTAACATTATATAAAAAAAGTATATTGGTACATTTAAAAACAAAAACAATGTTTGATATTTTAAATAATTACAATGATAAAAATAAAAAAAATCTTAAGAAAATAAACTTTTTAAAGTTAATTAACCATAACAACAACTATACATATCATTAAACCATATATTTTATTTAATTTTATTCATGAGTAACCCATTTTATTCATGAGTAACCCGCAAGTAGAGGCCTTTAAGACAATTGAGATTATAGAATTTTAAAAGATTTTTACATTATCATATAAATCAAAACAAACAATGTTTTTACCAACTTATTATAAGATTTATTATATAAGATCAAACAACAATGTCATTGATATATTTAAAAAACATATATTTATACAAATTTCAAATATATTGTTGTATTCTATGCAACACTTAGGTATTCGCCTAGTATCTTATAAAGCAAACATTATTTCTTGAACCTCATGCATTTGAAATTTCCAAGACTATTAAACTTATATAATTTAATTTATGATTAACTGAAATGTTGTGATTTGTAACTTCCAAAACTCTTCAAATCATGCGATATAATCGATGGGTTAAATGAAATATTTATCCTATATAAGAACATTGTAGCTTGCATATTGCATGTATGTCAACACAGAATGGTAGATTATATTGGTAGAGTTTGAAGAGTTATACGAGTGGTTCCATGGATGTAAGAGAGCAATTGCAACTTTTATAAATGTAAATGTAAATTTGGTGCATGTAAAGTTTTATATATTAACCAAGCTTCAAATTTGAGTATGTGTGTAAAGGTATACTTAAGACAATTTTTTTAATTTTATGTGTTATGGAAATTTTTATAATCACAATATAATGAAGTGGGACTAATAATTACTTCTCATGAGCTTTTGTTAAATCAATCTTTATGCTACATGTATGTATCTTTATGTCGTCTTTCTCTTTTATGTTAAGACAATTTATCTCTCTGTCCAAGAGAACATTATTCAACATGTATTTTATGCTATTAGTTATATGTTATGTTAGTTTCTATCATTTATTTTGGTGTAAATAACATCGTTGAAACGTTTGATAATTGATTTTGATAATGTTGTGATAAGTCGGAGATGGTAGGATTGAGATCAAAGGTGGGTGTAGAGTTGGTTCCTTCTCTTGATATTGTAGTACAAAGAAAAGAGATAATCGTGAGACAACACCCGAGAGTGGTTCCCAAGACGAAGCTATGATGATCAAGTTAGAATTGATTCCGAGAGAAGATAGAGAATGTCTGAGAGAAAAAGAGTCCAGTCCCCTTCTCCATGGAGAGGAAGGGTTCTTGTATACCTGATCGAGACTGATTTTATTGAGCCTTACCTTGTGAGACAAGACGTAATGGATCCGTATTGAAGGATCCTCCGTCACGTCTTTCTGATCTTGTTCCCCCATTGGCTAGAGGGGGATCTTCAGTATAATGATGACCGTGGTTGTCTTCAGATAGGCAAGTGGAGCTCTTCGATTGGCTCCACGTTTGTCGGGGTATTTCTCCTGAGGAGAAGAGGCTAAGGTGCAGTTCTACCCCTTAACCGCCATACCAACGAGTCCATGCAAGCGAAGTCCCGGCCTTAGCCTCAGAATAGGTATGACCAGACCAAACTCTAGCTAGGCCAAGCTTGGTGCTAGTTTGACTTTACTTCTTTAACGTTTTTCCTGAATGATACATCAATAGATAAAAATGAGTTTACAATTATTATTCCAAATTGTTGGTGATAGTGATGAATTAGAAAGAATGATTTTAAATATGATACAAATTTATTGTTGAAAACCAAATATTATTATGTGTTATAAAAATACATTCATTATGTTCTCCCAAAATTTATATGTATGTATCCATTTTTTAAACGTTTTTATAGTAACTGCAATGCTTGGTTTCCGGTATGAAATTATTTGCCCATTTGTTTATTTTTCTTTGGGACTCGGCATGTTGGAAGCCTCAACACGGCGTGTCGAGATGACTTTAGCCGCAGGGATTAATAAACCAACACGACGTGTTGGTAGCTGAGAAGGGAACCCTAATTTTTAGGGTGTTGCACCCTATTTAAAGGCCTTAAGTCCCTTGGTTGGCCTCCTTAACAGCCTCCTCTATCCAGAAACCTTATAATCGAGTATCATATTTCTTTGTTGTGTGTAAGCTTGTGGATAACCTTGGGTGTTCATTTTTGGTGCTTTTGAAGGAACTTAAAAAGCTTGGAGTTGATTGGCTTGAAGAAGAGGACTTGGATCCAGAATCACCATCTTATTTGCCAAGTATTTGAGGTATCAAGTTCTCACCTTTCTTGTTAGTTGCTTAGATCTCTTCTTGGGTTAGATTGTATACTTTTAGCCATGGTTGGTAGGATGTTGGGAATTAGGATGTCACGAATGCTTATTCTTTCAGATCTAAGGTCTACATGAACTCTTTTGGCATAAAGGTGTCAACTTTATGGACTTAATGGCTTCATGTATTCATTAAGTCCTTCTTTTAGTCCCCTTTAGGCATTTG